GCCGGAATCTTACCGTTAGTTTTCCTTGTAACAGAGTCGTGGGAGTCGAGCGAATGACTCACAACAATGTTTAATGAGACCGAACTTCTGCCATCTACGATAGGGTTAAATAATTTCTTACTTTAGGACTTTGGTGGAGTAATCTGACACAGCATGTTAGTCCATCAAGGACTTTTCAACTAAACGAGCGTTATTTTTGGCTATCTTTTCTTCTGCGTTTCCGCCTCATCGAATGTCCATCAGTCGCAGCATCCTCATTATAACTACTCAGGACGATAATGGCTTTGTCTGGACCATCAGTCGCTGCTGTAGCAACTTAACTACCAACAGCTAATGGCGTATCGCTCATTAATTGTTTCAGGATAGAAGGCTCTATTGCATATTGGGTCTCTGGTACGTGCTGTGACATCACTTACGACACTGACGCAATCTTCGCTATCAGTATCCATGTTACCGGTACAGCCCTCGTCAACCATCTTATTAGCCAACGCCAGAAGGTTAATTGCTACTTGGATGAGTAATGTTTGGCTTGAACAACAAAACATACAGAGCCAATGAGAATTGGGCTTTGAGCATCATTTACAGGCAGTGGGATTTAAGCGGGTACACATTTTATGGGACCACTTTTTACACTCGCTATCTTACATTCCTTCCATCACAGGGAACAAGCATTATGGCTGTCCATATTTGTGAACAGAGCCGACCATCTTAAAAATTAACTAAAAATGACAACACAAAACGGATATTTGAAAAAATCTAAAACTTTAACTAAATAAATCAAGTCCAAGTCGGCCAAGTATGCTTTGATGCAATGAATACACAAAAGCAAAATCAAAACACACAAATCAATATCACTTTAACTGAAATCAATTTAATTAAAATGCAAACAATAGTTCCGATGCGTAATTTATGATCAAAATAGTAAATCTAACTCAAAGAGAAACAATGCCACTGTTCTTCTTAAATAGCGCGCTTTAATAGAGTCCGTTATTTCATTCAAGAACATGAAATCTTTAGATCCTAACGTTGTGGCAAGACCCACTGATGTCTTGATACTGGAGATTACTGTACACAGACTGCCATACGAGGATACTGTGAATTACTAATAATAGATAATTATTCTTCATACATACCTTGTGAGTTTTTAGTTAAAGAAACAGGACTGTCAATACTGGGTTTAGAAAATTTGAAGAGACTTAAAGTGGAGTTGTCTTTACTAGTTTTTAAAGAAAATTCTAATGTGTCACTTAAAGATTTGAAAGCTACGTGTGCTAATTGTAGTATAGTTTATGAAAATTCAGTCTATAAATTTCCAAGTATAAGGACGTTCGATCATATCAAAAGACGATTAATTTTTTGTCTTCGAGAAGCAGCACACAAGACATTGAACGATTTATGTGCAAAAAGTATAATTGAACCGATTCAGTTTTCAGCATTGGGTACTTCTATTGTTGCACTATTGAAGTCCGATGACAAGACCCCTAGAATATGTGATGATTATAGCATTGAACTCCTGTTTGTTGAAGCAGACGTGCACGACGGTAGAGGCTGAAGATATTCCAAGTCGACTGATTCTAAAGTGTTCTCGGAAGTTGACTTAAAATATGCTTCTCTTCAAATCCCTTTGAATCAATCTCCATTTATTTTGACAACAATTAACACTCCATTTGGTCTGTTCAAATACAACTCCCTTCTGTTCGGTCTAAGTTGTTCTGCAGTCATATTTCCGGAAGTGATGAAAAAAGTAGTCAGTGATCTTGAAATTTATCAAGATTATTTCATTGTTCATGGTTCTGATAAGGTAGTTCATGACCAGAGACTTACTGCTTTATTGCGTCGTTTAATTGAGAGTATTACAGTGAATTCAAATAAGTGTTCATTTTATATATCTAGTTTACGTATAAGAAAGATTAGTTCAGCGAAGAGTTCTCTTTTCGGCGAATTCATTTTCAAAGCTGTACAATCGCAAATATATATACTTATTTTTACAGGATGATAATAAACTTCTGTTATACATGATGACAGTGAGGTTAAATAAACAAAGGTACTAAAAACTATTTAAAAGAAGAAAAGTTTAATAATCGTTTGATTGTTAATGGCTTAAGTATTCATCAAAATATAGATAGGGAAATTATCATTGGGAAAGGATGGCTCAACATGACAAGATAAAATGTTGAAATTGAGATTAAGTGTAATCAGGATGGCCGTGGAAACAAAAATAAACCAGTTGCGAGAAGATTTAAGGGAAAGATGGAGGGTGAAGCAGATGGTTGCAAAGGAAGAGTACGAAAAAGAGAAAAGAAAAAAATAACACATCAAAACCATGGTAGAAGAAGTTGTACCAGTCTCTTGAACACACAATTCTGGTTTTTCAAGATGTATGGCTGATGCTTCGGCAATACAAAGAAAATGCCGTCTAATTGTTTTGATGAGACTTCTACTTACGTTGTAGATGACTTTGAACGCGGAGTCTGTCTTGATTGAGTGACCTGTGTTCGACTATTGAACTTCTTATTGAGCTGTTGTCTCCTACTTTTAGCCACGCCGGATGTTCTTGAATTCTTTTGGATAAAGTACGAATCGAAAGACCCATATACTTAGCTCCGCGTGAGCAGGTAAATACACATTGAGTTGGTCAGATGCGATAATTTATCTTTAGAATTATTGGTGAACAATGACCGACTGAAGAATACTATTTGCAAGGACTCAGAAATCCTACTCTTTTAGATGTACGCGGCTCTGCCACCCATGAAGTATGAAGTTGACGTTCATGTATAAAGTTTTCTTTTCTACTGTAGTTACTTGTGTTTTCGGCCTTATGATTTTATCGATGAATGTCGAAAGATACCTGCTCTTGATAAGTATTTCCTTTAACAGTCCCAATTCTTCATCTCTGACTTCGAGACTACAAATTCTTATAGCGAGTTTTATTATTTTCTTTGTCGACTGATAGGAACCTAGCTGTGACAAATTAATAGTTGGCCATTCCACATGGGTTTCTTGTAGATAAATATTCTTAGGGTACCATCGTGACTCCTTGTCATTTCCACATCCAGAAAGTGATTTTTTTTGTTTTCAACTTCTAGTGTGAACTTTATTGCTGGGTCACAATTATTAAATGTTTTTAGATGACTCAAGTCATATTTCTTGTCGAATGATAAAGATATCATCTTCGTACGTTTTATACATAGGCAGGTTTCCTATGATCGATTTGAGTTGGTTGTTTTCTAAACTGGTCATGAAGCGATCTGCTAGTAATGGACCAAGTGGGGATCACATTGTTATGCCATACTTCTGTCTATGAATTATGTCCTTGGATGTGAACTGTACATTGCAAGTGCAAAGTAGTAATAGTCCCTTCAAATAAACTTCCGGTATTTCGATGTTAATCTCATTACTATTTACGTACTTGCAGACAAAATTAATGAACTATGTGAGTGAAACATTAGTGAATAATGATTCGACATTCAGAGAGCATGATTTTCTCATTTACATTCACTTCTTTTATGTGCTCGATACATTCAAAAGTATCACCTATGAAGTGTTTACAAATGCAATTTCTAACGGGTTCTAGATTTGCCATCCAGTTCTTGATTGAGATCATGAACTGATTGATGTTAGACCACCGTATGAAAACCTGGGTGGCCGTTTCGTCTTACTGTGGGACTCCTCAGCAGTGCGCATCCACGATCCCGCTCACAGGATTCGAACCCTGGGCCTTCGGTCTCCTGCCCAAACGCTTAACCTCTAGACAGCTGAGTCGGCGTCCAATCGTGTCTAACTCCAACCAATCCACGAAACTGCGCGAACATCCTTCATTGTATAGAGGTAGATACCTGCCTCTACCCGACACAGATTATCTAGTTTTGAATGTCTTCGATAAATAGTTCATAGTTTTAGGCCAGATATGAAACGACTGGCTCTACTGATAAATGCACTGTTTTCAAAAATCGTACAGAACTACGTTCACTAGTGGGTGCTTTTTAATACTATTCCGCTTTTATTCCTAGTTTTTCTTGTCGTTCAAATTGTTTCTTTAGTATTTTAATATCCAATTCAATTAAGTTGGGGTGAGGAACAAGAGTCATGCTTATGAAATCTATTTAAATTTCTTTAAAGTGATACTGTTCTTCGAACAGTTGGTCGGATGGCATGGCTCGGCCATGCAGGCATGGTCCCTGCTGAATGTTACCTTATATATTCTATTCATATTATTTATAGTGTTTTTTCTCTAGCCCAACCTTGTTCTACATCATGTATTGGTAATTGATACGATACAGTGAGTTGGTGTAGTCGATGGTGTGACTTCCACTTAAAATCTTATAGATTAGGCAGTTATATCATGACAAATCTACAATTTTAGGATTAGGTCTATTATTAGAGCAGTACTAATATTATAGTAAACCATAATTCTACATTGGTAAGCCCGAATAAAGAAACGCAACCTATCATTGATAACGTTGAAGCGCATTTTTGACCAGTTTGACTGAAGAACTTTCCATACAATCTTCAATAGTTTTATCCGTCCCCATTTAGAGTACGGAAACATAGTACTCCTCATCTCACTCCAAAAGGACAAGGTCACTTTGGAGCGTATCCAACGGCGAGCCACGAAATCAGTTCGAGGACTCAAATCTAAGCCTTACGACGAACGCCTCTATTTACTAGACCTTTAGAGTATAGGCGCCTTAGAGGTGATTTATTAATGGCTTATAATATTCTTAACACTTCTGGACATCCTCTTAAATACTTACTTAAGCTTAGTTCTAGTATTAAGGGGTAACACCCAGAAACTGGAAACTCAACATAGCAAGATGGAGTGTAGACACAACTTCCACTCCTTAAGAGTTGTCAAAAGCTGGAATTCACTGTCGGCCGAGCTAGTCCAAGCGACTTCTCAGGAGTCCTTCAAGAGGCAACTTGACCTATTTTTAAGGACCAAGGATAGTATCACACTGATTTACCAATTTCTTTTCCTCTTTTATTGTTAACATACATAGGTTCCTGCCTGGAGGATTTGGTGATCCCCTGTTACTAGACACGGAAGCCTGTTAAGCGAAAGCTTCTTCTATTCCGTCCACAACCATTTTGAACTTACTCACCTAGTGTACATTCTGTACTTATTACTGATGCATCAGCTGTGGGTATTGGTGCAGTTTTGGAGCAGGAAAGTAGACCAGTTATCTGTGTTTCACGCAAACTTACTGTTACGAAGCAAGGTTATCAGCAAAATCAGCGAGAAGCATGGGCTGTGTGGTATTATCAAGGTAGCGAAATTATTGTTGCCTTCATCGTAGATACATCAGTGTATTTAACTTTAATTGTCGTTAACATTATCCCATAACATCGCGTTTTTTTCCATTAATCTACATTTATTTCAAATCGAACTTTAATGAAGACTTTTCTGATATGAAATATGTATTCCTGTTTGGTTTTTTCCGATATATAGTGTTTTTGTTTTGCTTTTTTGAAAATTTTAATTTTATCGTGTAGATAATTACTGACATTCGCGATAATTAGAATCAAATACTAATTAGATGAGGAAGTGGAACTTTTTAGACGGATACGATCCAATTAGTATCATTGGAAGATATAGTTACTTAGCATTCATACATACTGTATTGACATTTACGTCATTTCAAGTAAAATGTTAATTTGACATTAATAAATATAAATGAGAATCTCAACAATAGTATTTTGACCTCGAAAATGAGTTCACAATAATAATGATTGTTTCAGAACTTTGACTTTACTGATTACACAGGAAAATGTAATACTTGATTACATTTCAGTTTTGCTGTAATATTCACCAACTGTTTATACACTTAAATGTATACTTTCCTTATCAATTACGGTGAGTCAAACATAAATCGAAATTGCGGCAATCTTCCTTTGAATTATAGTGAAATTAATCTGTTTACACTTCATTAAAGACGACTTTCCTTTTAAAAGTTTGACGCGCGTATTCTTAACAGTATCTAGTCATACATGTCGTTGACATAACTTAACACATGTATGATCTTGGAAGTATATCGCTCACTAGTCTGTGTAAATACAACTTATACTTAATGTAATTAACTCATATCAACATTGCTTAATGGCCTTAAACAACTTTCTTTAGACTTTCAATATTCCACATGGCTTCATGCAGGTTATTTCTGTTTAATTTGTCAGTATATTTAGTTGTTTTATAAGAGTGATTGACATAGTGATTCCCAGCTGATTCAATTAATCATGTCAAAAATATTAAATTAAGCTACAGATTCCCTCTCATATCCAGTTGAATACATGATTTATATTCTATCTATTATTACTACGTTTACAGGTTAGAAATGGAACGCCACAATAATAATTTACAATACAATTAATAAACCTGAACTATTGTAGAATTATAACAAACGGAATTTGACTTTGAACTTAGTAAATCTCAAATTTCAAAGACCAGAAAAAATTAAAACCCAGAGACCACCATCCTTCATTGACAGCAACCGCCAGAATAACCAATGAAGTTCCAAATACTATTAATATCAAGCTCATGGAAACTAAAATGAATTTTCAAAGCCTTTCAAGCTGTTCAGTTGGTAGTTATCAAGTACATTTAAAACGTATCACATGTATTGCTTTAACATAGAAAACGAAATTAATAAGAATTCGTACAGACATTTGTACATATTTTGAAAAATCAAAGAAAGAAAATGATCAAAATCTTTCATGTGATGGAAATTATAGTCACTGAATAATCCAGGTTATCGACGTTTAGATAAACCGACACCGAGACCAATGCCTAACAGTGCAGCCGCTCCTAAAACAGCACCACCAACAACTGCTAAACCAGTCAAGCCATCTAAAATAATAAATTTTCATATAATTCAAGTGAAATGGTTTGTTAAATTACTTTGCTGATACTCTTGTACAGAAACATGTGATTTACACGTACAAATCATTGGAATCAGTAACTACGTGTAAAATATAGTAGGAGCTGAAAGACCTTCGAACTACTTATACTAAAGTCTAAAACAGTATGTGAATTTAAGTGGTATAAAGCTACATAACTATATTGCTTAGAAACGACTTCGCAATCTGTCGTCATATTTGAATTTCAGATAAATTTCAAATCCAACTTTACCCTTCACTATTTGAACCATGTTTGAATGTAAGAGGAACTTCGATGTCTGGAACTTCTTCAAGACATACAACACTGTAGGATATATTCATATCATTTAACCACAAGAGGTAAGACAATCTAGTAAGTTGACCATCTCACTTATCTGTCCCACCAACACTGGTAAGTTGGTAGATGACAAAATTCCAGACTAAATATTAATATGCCCGCTCCGATCCTATTAAAATACCCGATGTTCCCTAGGTGGCATGCCTATAGGTCTATCAAAAGGCCAATATAATACGTGGAAATTTGATTTGGATTATTCCATGATTGTAAGACATGAACTTTGGAAATTAAGGACATGTTATGTATCGTGCATATCTTCTAATCATTGCACATATATGACAAAACATATCGATGAGCAGTCTTGGTGCTAGGTGAAGATTGTAACTTATTAATAAATATTTGAGCAATTATTTAGTGGGTTCATTGAGATTTATTTGAAGTACTTCAACACACAACCTAACACGGGGCTCTGTGATAGTATAGAAGTTGGTGGAGAAATGGCTGAGTATATAGACAAAGACATTAGTCCAAGAAGTTACTGAATATTGGTCTCAGTAGGACAGAGAAGTTCAGACATTTTAGTTATGACTGAAAGTATAGGATGAAAACATCAGGTGACCTATCTCAAAACCGTCCGAATTTCAAACTTTGATATAATTCTTAATCAATTCTTAGGTTTCCTTTTTTATTTGCTTTCAATAAATTTCGTATTGCAACCGGGGCATCTTGTATTATCTTTAATAAATAGACTCCTTACATGATGTGGCAAACTGAGTTGAAACAAACCGTAACCCAGATAAATAAAATAACTGCTTGCTAAAACCATATTGTCTTCAAACCTTAATTTCATGAAACACTATTTTAGATGTACGATTGGTGAATTCAGTCACTGGCAGATCCCATGGTTTTTGCAATGGGTCATATAAGTTCAAAATTAGTCTTCATTGCCCTATTATTATAATAATGTTTAGAAACAGACTACTTCAATAACTTGGATGGATCAACCGTAGTAGTTCGGCAGCTAATAGCCTCTGGACAATAACATCATCGTTCACTTGAGTGTTAACCAAAGCCCATGACCTGTAATACACTTTAGTTAGTTGACTACTTAAAACGCCACTACTAAACATTCATTTAATCTAATCAGTGAATGAGAAATTTTGGGCCCATGCAAAAATGGGACAAAGTAAACGAAGTCATTAATCTCAACGGTAAGAATCTGTTCACTGATTTCAATCTAGACATTTTCTCTGTCTAGTTATGGTGTTGCAGAGTATCATAAATGGGACTGAAGTATCCGAAGATAATACTCTATTTCCATACACTTTGGATCCCGACCGTTGGTGCTACCTTGACGTGGTGGTCGGGCTTGCCTATCGTGATGAAGCAACCGAGCTATACTGGCTGGAACAACCGTTCCTCAAGGTCCTACCATGTCAGACAGGTCGGTTGAAGAGCGGTAAAACTAAAGGCAACAAGCCTAAGGTCCGAAGGCGAAGTCGTACTGCTGACTGTACAGAGGTGTGACGGCAGTATGGTGTTTCCTTCAGACAACCAGCATGACAGCGATGCTGCCTTCCCACAAGGAGGGGTGGGGTTAGAAAAGGTCGACCCTAAAAATGCACTTCTCGCCTTACCTCACGGATTTCCGTCTCCGGCGGTAAGGCTCTTTGAAGAACGGAGCTAACACGTCAAAAACCTTCCACAAAAAGGCCGTGCGCGACCGGCCTCAAGCAGTTGTCCCTTGGGCACTGCGGTCACGCTCTCAGGTCGCTGAGACCGCCTCTAATCCAATTTCCTTTTCAGGTACCTCCAGAAGAACCCTTCCACGGTGTGGGCAACCGGGAAGTGATAACCGCCCTCATACCTCTAACAGCACCCAAGACTACTGTATTCATAATCAACCTTCCTATTCAATTCCTATTATTTCTCCTACATCGACTTTCAACCCTAAACTTCCTCCTTCGGCTTTTTCCTCAAGTGTCACCATAGCCAACGATTCTAGTGCTCAAAACTCTGTCCCAGGTCTACTGAAACCTCGCTCCAAACTACACATTGGAGCTTTCAACGTACGCACTATATGTCAAATCGGTCAGCAGGCTTCCTTGGCGAAAACCCTAGAGTCTCTCTCCATTGATGTATACTGTGTCTCCGAAACACGCATACAGGATTCCAGTGTGGTTATTCACTTGAGCTCACCTCGGCAAAACGGAGAGCCAACGAGATACACCCTCCGTGTGTCTGGTGACCCGACGGCCAGTTCTGGTGGACTAGCAGGTGTGGACATACCTTTAAGCACGAGGGTAGAACAAGCACTATTAGGATGGATCTCCGTTAGCAGTCACCTATGTGTTGTTTCGCTAAACGGTTCCGCAAGAACTCGGAAGGATAGGGACACACGTCGTTGCCTTTTTGTCGTTTCTGTCTACGCTCCCACTGACTGCAGCTCAGATGATGTGAAAGATAAATTTTACATAAAGTTTTCTAAAATTCTTCAGAAAGCTAAACGTTCAGACATAGTACTCGTAGGGGGTGACTTTAATGCTCAGATAGGTAGCTTGAACCAAACAGAAAGGCATTTAGGTGGATATTTTAGCATTCCGGCACAGCGAACAGATAATGGTGACCGTCTGCTGCAACTGTGCTCAGACAGTCGCTTATTTTTAGCAAACACAAATTTTAAGCATAGGGAGAGACATCGTCTAACATGGCGACCCCCTACACCAAACCAACGATGGACTCGAATAGACCATATTGCCATCAGTCATCGTTGGAGAGGGTCGGTAGAAGATTGTCGCTCATTCTGGAGTACCTGCTTGGACTCCGACCACGCCCTAATACGGGCACGCATCTGCTTGCGCCTCACCGGACGCAAAAAAGCCACATTAAAAAGACCCATTAGAACTGAATTGAGTAACGAGAAAACCAAAAATAGGTTCCAAGAACAACTGAGTTCACACTTAGGTAGTTCTGAAGACGAGGCTGACCCAGATGTTGCTTGGAAAGACATACAAGCAGCTGTGGAAGCAGCAGTGACACCTATTAGCAACTTAAACCACAGAGTTTCAAAGAACCAGTGGATTTCTTCAAAGTTTATCACACTGATGGATTCTCGCAAACTCGTCCCATCAGGTTGCGAACATGATGAAGAGCGACAACAAATCAGATCTAGGTTAAGAAAAAGTCTAAGAAACGACCGTGAGCAGTGGTGGGCAACGAAAGCAAAAGAGATGGAAAAGGCGGCGACTATAGGGAACACAAGACAGCTTTACAGACTAATAAAAGAAACTGGAATTAATAAGTCAAGTGTAAGTGAGATTATTTCGGAAAAAGACGATACTCTCATCTATTCCCAGTCCAAACGTTTAGAACGATGGGCGGAACACTTTAGGGAACAGTTCAGCTGGCCTTCAGTTACTCTACAACTACCCTCCATTCCCAGACAGCGTGAATGGAACATTGAAGTAGATCCCCCAACTCTTGCTGAAATTCAAAGGCTATAGATAATCTGAAACGAGGAAGGGCAGCTGGTTCAGATGGACTGGCTCCAGAAGTTTTTAAGGATGGTGGTCCAATTTTAGCGATTAGGTTGACTAATATTTTAGCTAAGATCTGGGAGTTGGACGTTATTCCATCTGACTGGTCACAATCACTTATCGTCCCAATATATAAGAGAGGGTTAAAATCATCCTGTGACAACCATAGAGGGATTAGTTTAACTAATATAATATCTAAAATACTAGCCTCAATAATAATCAGACGCCTAACTAAGGCTCGTGAACTGCAAACACGAGAAAACCAAGCTGGCTTCAGACCTGGTCGTGGCTGCATCGACCACATATTCACCATTCGTCAGGTTCTAGAACACAGGCATACTTA